TGGGAACATGACGCGGGGCAGATGGCTCTCCCCTCCCCATAACGTCTTCTCTGTGGGACCCCGCAGATGCTTCCAGGAACGGAGCAAGGCCCCTCCACTTTTTCTGAAGTCTAAAGACGCTGACCATAGTCACACAGACGCTGAGGTGTGTGACCATTTGGGGCCCTCCATTCCTCCTAAACAGCATCCAGCCTCTCAGGCTCAAGGCCCCTGCGACATCAGGCTCAATTTCCCTTTCCTGGGCTCCGAGGACCCCCCCCCGAGCCTCTTGCCACCCCGCACACCTAGGGACGAGTCCTCATGGTGCAGGACCCTGGGACTCGGCCTCGGTCAGCCCACAGCCTCCTCTTCACCCCTCGAGCACCCGTCTAAGCTCCGCGGCCTCGCTGCCGCCACCCTCCCCTCCCGGCCACCACCCGCCAGCCTGGCAGCTCCTTCCCTTAGACGCGGCCGTGGGGCGCGGTTTCCCCGGACTGAACGTTCACTGGAGACCTCCGGTCCCTCGCTTTTCACTCCACCCCAGGACGGGCCATTCGGATTTCTTCCCGGGAACCCGGATAACGCTCATCGCGCTTGAAGGGCTCAACAGACGTCAATGAAAAGGGAACCGCTCAGGCCAGAGGCGCTGTCCAGGAGGCTCAGCAAAAAGGCAGAATTGGTTCGTAGGAAGCAAACCCGTGTCGCTTTTCAACGGCGCACAGGAACAGTGGCGCAGACATTACTTCAGGGGGTAAAATCAGAAGGACTCACGATTGAGGGGCTGTGGGGCGTGGCGAGCCGGTAAAACCAGCCTCAGGACTGTCCCCACAGAGAGGAAACTCCGCATGGCTCTTCCAGTCTCCAGAATGTGCCCGAATGAACAGCTCGGATGGGCCTGGACCGCCTATGTCTACCTTACCCCGTCATTCTTGCCGTCCCCCGTTTCCAAGTCGTGCCCAGGTAGGAACGGTTATTAGCCAGCGAGGTCAAGGGGCCGGGCCCTTTGGCAGTAGCTGCCTCCACCACCCCAGGGAAAGGGCCATTTTCCCTCCGCGTCGTCGCGGCATTTTCACTCCCGGGTGAATTTCATCGTGGACGACACACGCGCGTCCCAGACCCTAAGTGCGCCATGTCGTGGAGAAGGGAAGCACGTGGCCAGCGAGGGGCAGATCCCACCAGGCGCTGACCTTCTCCACCCCCCGAGAGATCCCCCGTCCCCTCCCAGAGGCCGCTCACCCCGCCAGGGGCACGTGTCCCTTCTAACCCGACCGCACAGCCCACGCTTTTATGTCTAGTTTCTTTCGCTCGACAGGATCCCCCGAGGGTCGTGGTTTGTTACCTCATCTTTGGCTTTTCACATAAATCTGATTAAAAGGTGGATTTGTGTGGTTTTCCTTGAGTCTGTCATACTCGGGATTCGCGGTGCCTCTTGCTCTATAAGAGGCACCGCGATCTGGGAAGTTTTCAGACACTGTTTCCTCAGGAATGTTTCCCACCTTCTCCCACCCCGGGGACTCCGGCTACAGGTTCCTCGCGTCGCCTGACGTTGGCCCTCGGGGCCCCCAAGCCTTTTAAACATGCAAGGCTCCTTGGCTCTCCGGGTCAGTTCTGTCACTGTTCCGGCTGCTAGACGCCGCGGGGGGGAGCCGTGGCCGGGCTGCTCGCGGCGGCCACCGCACAGGCGTCCACGCAGCACGTCGTGTGTCCCCCTGACCCTGGCCGCCTCCGTCAATTCTGCCTCGAGTTTAAAGACCACGGAGTCTCTCAGAAGGGCGTGCGCTCTGGCGAAGGCACGTTTCCCGCCAACGTCCTCGGGAAGCTGCGAGACCCTCGGCAGAATCGGGCAGAATGAAACGCCTGCGGTTCTGTCGGTCTCACCGTGAAATGCCGCCTGTGGCCCACAGAACACGGCCACCCGTGGAATGATTTATCACTCACCTCCTTTCGCCTCGTGTATAGCTTCGGTTTGCTCAGGGATTGAGAAAAAAGGTGGTAACAGGATATAAGGCAGCGGCGAGATACTGAGGAAACTCCTGGTAAACAGGATCTAGGCAGCTATTTTTTTTATCAGTTATTAAAGCAAGATAAAATTTAGTTTTCACATGTTTGATTTCCTAAAGCATTGCGATGTTAAAGGGTTTTATGTATTAAAAATTGCTCCTTTCATGGGCAATTTCGCTCCTCTTGAGAGTCTTCCTATTAAAATGATCCCAATGTATATATAAACTACATACGTTTTATAACAAGAGCGTAAATATACATGAGTTAATTAAAAAGAGTAAAATAAATCCTATTATATCTTTAGCGCTCTATGTGTGATGAGGCTCATATTTGTGTTTGTTTTTGGGTTTTTGGTATTTTTTTTTTTTTTTAAAGAAACAACCCCGTTTTTTCGTAACCCACGTGATAAATGGGAAATCAGCGGCCACCAATTGTGGTAAAATAGTAAAAGGAGAGCAGCTCGTCCCTTCTCGCCCTTCCTATCAGCCAGGCGAGCATTTTCCAAAGTAAGATCCCGCGAGCGGCCCGTGCCGAGGACGTCAGGAGAGTGCGTAGTACAAGGATGGCCATTTTTTATGTCATATGCAAATGACATATTTATTTTCTTGTATTACAAAAGTACTATATACATCCTTTGAGGTTTTTATTACAACTAAGCTACTGTAGATAGTGTCAGAGTCAATTAATTCAGAGAACATTAGGAAGGGAATAGAGATGGTAACCACAGAGGTGAAAATCTCAGCAGTGGCCCTGAGTGACTGAATCGGGGGCAGTCCCGAGCCGGAGCCACCCAGCCGTCGGTGCCCCCTGCATCCCAGGTGTCGGTCTTGCTGTCCCCGGCCTGTGGAGGCTTCGTGCTCCCGGCTGTGTTGCGTCTGACGTCACTTCCCCTGGTCACCCACGCCCAGCCTTGGCCTGCCCTAGCCCACCCTTCCTGCGGTCCCTGTTCCTGGAGGCGTCCCTGGCAGAGGGCGAGACAGTCCCCAGAGCCAGGCCCTGGAAGAGTCCCAACCTGGGTAGAGAACATTCTTGACTTGAAGCGTGATCACAGGCGCTGCCTCCCCAAACTCAAAACGAATCAAAAAGAATTTCCGTCATAAGAAGGCTTCCTCCCCCGGCTCTAGGTGTGGGGATGAGTGACTGGGTTGGCTCTGGGCAAGGATGGGCGTCACTGAGTCAGGAACAGGGCAAGGAGAAGCACCGCAGATGGGAGGAGGGCGGGACCGCTGACCGCCTTGGAGGCCCTGCCCCAGATGATGCACAGGGCCTCTGTTACCCCAAACTTGTGGGAGCTAAGCCAACGGGACGTGGGTGGTTTGTCAAAGCTCAGCCCAGTCTTTCCTCCTGGATGCATTCAGGGGGAAAAACGATCGAAAGGCATCCAGATTTAAAACAGTACTGCACCAAAGAAAGTAGATGGATGGCAAAAAGCACATAAAAAGATGTTCAGCATCATTAATACAGTGAAATGCAAATCGAAACCACAGGGAGATACTACTAAGCACTTATAAGGCCAAATTTTAAGGGACTGATAATAGCGAGTGTTGGAGAGGACGTGGAGCAGCTGGAACTACCACCCGTTGCCGGGGGAGAGGGGAGGGGGACACCTTGGCACAGCCTCTTTGGAAAAACACTTTGTTTCTTCTAAAGTGAAATACATGTACCACATGTCCCAGCAATTTCTCTCCCACATCTTTACCCAGGAGAAAAAAAAGCATAAATCCACGTGAAGACTTGTACTCAGATGTTCGTAACAACTTCATAATAGTAAGTTGAACCTACTCAGATACCCACGGCTGCTGAGTGGATAAACAAAATCTGGTGCATCCAGATGAATCGCAAAATAAGCCGGACACAGAAGATACGCATTGCTGTCAAGTGAGAAAAGGCAAACCAGAGAAGCAGATCACAGAATTGTAACAATGTAACGTTACCTATAAAACTGGCTACACTTTAAAAATTTAATAGCCAGAATTTTCCAGTACTATGAAAAAGAGAACTGTTCTTAAACATGGCTGGGGCTATGCATTGGAGGCCAATTTGCATTTGGTATCAAGAATTGTAAACCGTCTGCCAGAAATAGCCATCTTCTCCGGGAATTTACCCTAAGGCCAGAATCAACAATCTGCATCCAAGCAAGTCTGGGTGAGCAAAAAGTGTAGTAATAGGGAAAACGTCCAAAGTAGAACATTGTTAGATTAATGATAATGAACCCATAAAATTGAACAGTATCGAGTGGTATAAAATGTAAGCATTTATAAAAACGGCTTGTCAACTGACTCCGAAAAAACACACCCCAACAATAAAATCCAAAGAGTAAATACTGTAAGACCACATTCTTTTATCAAAATCATCGAAAAGTAGAAATTGAAAATAGAAACAATGCTATCATATAATAATTTTACAAACTTACTCCTCCGCAAAGAAGAAATAAAAAAATTGCAGTTTCAAGATGTTCAATGACAATTTTCAAAAGGCCACTACGTGGTACCATTAGCGAAGGCTGGCTCTGCTTAGGGTTTCCTTTTGGAATCATTGTTATGGTCAAATTATTAACCAGTAGAGCAGTTCGTGAGTGAGTTGAGACCCTATGTTGTTGGCTGCTTAGGATCTGCAACATTTTGGGGGTCCAGGCCCTCCGCTCCCTCATTATTTAGGAGTTCTAGTCCCGCCCTGTCCGGCCGTGGGGCTGGGCTCGCTCCCGTGGCCCTTGACAAGGGTTACAGATTAATCGTGCGACGGAGGAAGCCTTGGAAGATTGCGCCCCCGTGTTCCCGCTGGTTGGCTGTACCCATGGCAACCTCCTACTCCGGACCAAAGTCCAGCTGCTGTAAATCTTTATGGCCATGTCCATGGTCCAAGGCGCATTAGTACAACCCTTCCGATGAAGAGCCAGCTCTTATATTTTACAACAAAGTAGTAGGCTCCGCTTCTAAATTCTGGGCTCCAAATGATAAGGTCCAAAGATATTAGGAAAAGGTACATAGTTTTTTCCCTAGGACCATCGTTTCCCCGGAAAAATGCCTTCAACACAGAAAACGCTCATGTTCCTGTCGAGCTCCTTCACGAGCTTCGGGGCGTTCGTGGTCATCTGCGCTATCATGGCGGCCCAGGAGTGGGTCAGCAGCAGCATCGCCATCAGTGACAGCTCTTCAAACGGCACCATTGTCGTCACCTATGGACTCTTTCGTGGGCAGAGCAAGCAAGTTCTGGAACACGGACTTGGGGAGACAGACAAGTACTTTGAAGGTAAGTGAGAGATGGATTGGAACGGGGATAGTGAGATTGAGCTGACTGGGTGAGACTCACGTCATCCAATATTTTAATATCTGTTCATATTTAACATTTAATATTTTTTCTATTAATTCAACCAATATTTCTTGAACACCTGATCTACAGGTGAGCACCGCAGGTGACTTAGTGGGGCACCAGGACATAGACTGCAGATCTCCTGCTCTTCCCAAGCGTATCACTTGGTTGGGGAGGGGCGACCTACCGCTGACTAACCGCCGACTTCTCGCTGTCCGACCCCCTTAACATTTCTTGAACTTTCCTGCTTCCTGCCATCCTCAGAGCTGCTACGTGAGTCCGGGCCACCCCCAGCCCTTCCTTGGTTTCCTCTAACATATCTCTGTCCCCGCCTGGCTTGCTTCAGGCCCTTTCTTCACAACGTGCTTTCTAAACTGCTAATCTAATCACTCTCTTTCCTGCTACCCTCTAATGGCTCACTGTGGTCCTCAGGATAAAGTATAAATTGTCCAGGTGGCTGGACAGGCCTCCCTCCTCTCCTTTGATATTTAATATTTTAATACCTGTTCACACCTCCTGCCAGTGGTGTCATTATTTCTGCTTCCTCCCTTCCGGCTGTGCCTGTTGGCACCACGGTCTGAATCACTGTCGCAGAGGCTGTTTGAGTGACGCTAGTGAGTTTATTGACACGTAAATGACTGAGGGAAACTATGCGTCAGCAACCTGGTATCCGCCGGCAGGAACATCATTTTTAACCGTGTGGAGCGTGGATTTTCAGTTGCATCAACAGCCTCTGTCCAGAACTTCATTAGTGGCCATCCAAGGAAAAGATGAAGTGGAAAACGGAGTCCATTCCTTCCTTTCTTTCTTTTTTAAAGTATGTTTTTGTTGATTTGAGAGAGAGAGGAAGGGAAGGGAGAGATAGAAACATCGATGAGAGAGGCACACTGACCGGCTGCCTCCTGCACGGCCCCTGCTGGGGACTGAGCCAGAAACCCGGGCCTGTGCCCTGACTGGGGATCCAACCCGTGACCTCCTGGGTCATGGGGTGACTCTCAACCACTGAGCCACACCGGCCGGGCAAGGGGGTCCATTTCTTATTCCTGTCTCTCAAGTACATTTCTTTAACCAATTTGAGTTTCCATTTTTACCCCCAAAATATCCATTGTAGTTGGACATAATATTAGATTTCCATGAATTCTATATTTCGCAGGAACTCCTAAATTTTTCTCTGATTTCTTACATGATCATGCCCTACTCTTAATGGGTGGAAAATAAAAACTCATGGAGAATGGTAAGTTAGCTCCTTCTTTGACTTTTGAAGTCTGAATATGTACCATTACGTTTTCTAACTATGAAAGCTGCCTTTGCGAATTATTTAGCGCCCTACACGGGTTTTACTCTGCACAGCGGCATGCGCGGGTGTCCCGGGTGTTACCCTGTCTTTTCCTCCTGACAGGTGAATGCGCCATTCCCTGCCTGATACAATGTTGCACTGAGTCCCTTCCCGCTGCCTACGGGAAGGAGGTTGAGCCTGGGGCGCGCCCGAGGCTCCAGCTCTAGTTTGTGACTTTATTAATGAAATGATTTCCTTAAATCCAGAGCAATATGGTTATAGTTCCAAGTTATAAATTTGCTTTTAGGTACGAGCAGAAGCATCGTGTCCCCCACAGCCTCAGCGGGACCCGCCTCGGCTCACAGGGAAACGAGGGGTGTTCATGGTGCAGCTGCTGGAAACCGAAACTCTCAAAGATTCACTCACACTCAGCCACGTGAACAGCATTTGCAAAACCAGAGAGTGTACTGGGTTCCCAGTCTCCCGACTCATTTAGATATTTTAATATGAGCTAGTGCCCTGTGAAGTTCTGATTGTCACGGCGTCTGCTTGGAACCAATGGTTCTGATCTGTGACAAATGGCTTCATGAGCGCCCCACCCACCTGCACACTGGGAGGCTCAGGGGGGGCAGGGGAAGGTCAGAGCCAGGCCCTACAGCCCCGTGGGTGATGGAAGTTCTGTGGCATTGAGTGGCAGGACAACCCTGAAGGTGGCAGGACCAAGTGGGCACCCCATGCAACGTGGGGGCTCCGAGAAGGTGGGACATTGGAACCTGCTTTGTCTGGTTCTCTCCTCTGATTTGTTGTTCCCCAGGAGCCACATCCCAACCTTCTGGAGTCACTGTGAGCCTCCAGGTGAGAAGGTGAGCCACGCCCCCACCAGGGCAGGTGCAGGTACAGGAGCAGGTGCAGGTGCAGGTGCAGGAGCAGGTGCAGGTGCAGGTGCAGGTGCTACACAGCTGCTCTGGTTGATATCAGAGCCGGGGGACCCTCGCTGCTGGTGATTTTAGCAACCGGTAAACTCATGCACAGCTCTCTGGAGAAGATGGGAAAAGGCCTGTAACTAGCACGTATGCCGTGGTGTCCTCTGGCTGCTGCAGTCCCGCGGGTCCTTCCCAGAGGACAGAACTTCAGCGTCACAGTGAGACAGGGCCGCTCTCCTGCTGGTGTCTCGTGACCACACAGAGCTAATTTTGAGTCAGAATTCTGTCATTGGCAGCACGGGAAAATCTGCCCAGCAGTGACGGATTGACTTCTCCGTCTGCGAAGTTACCCGTGTTAGCTTGGCTGGGCCGAGGTCACACTGAAAGTCTCCAAAGAGTGACGAATATCGCAGAGCTCGGTTCTGTCTCCGCAGAGGGTGTATCGCACTGTGCTGACTGGGGCTGTGGGCCTGGGCTGGAAAAAGCAGAGCCAAGTGACAATGGCTGATTGCAGGTGCCAAAAGAATTCGGTCAACGCCAGGTCCATCGCTGGGAAAAGAGTGAGCCAGGCCCGTGAAACCCGACCACTGGAGCCGCTCAGCTGACCCGGAGGCCTACCCGCCGCATCCGGAGGCACCCAGCTTGTCCAACATCCAGGCGGAGAGCGACAGGCCCTCCGTGCCCCCAGCGAGCACGGGGCCCTGGCTGCGCCAAAAGCTCTGGATGTTCAATCTCAGCTCAAGGACAGCTGCTCGAGCAGCTGCTGTGTGAAGGAGGAGCCTGGACACAGAATTGCACACAGCTCCCAGCCTTGGTGGACTCACCATCTATTCTTTCTAGAGAAAGACCCCCCGTCAGTTAAATCCAACACCCCACAGGAACCGCGGGGCAAATGACAGCAAGGAGCAGTTTCACCCCAATCCAGCTTCCCCCCCACCGCCACGGCCTCTCCTCCACCCACCCATTCGTCCTCTGGGAGCTCCGAATTGTACTATCAGCCCAGGCCAAAAATAATCCGGAGAGAGAGAATCTGCTGCGAAAATCAATTAATTGCAAGAAGAACCAGGGAGATTTTCCTTCAGAATTTACAAAAAGCCCAACCTCACCCATCTGCCATATGTTTCTGGGGAGGAGGGACTTACCGTTTGCCCCAGAGACGTGATCGCAGAGGGAAGGGGAGCTTCAGGGGGCAGAAAAGGCGTAGCCGTACCCTTCTCCCCAAGCATAGGGGTCACCAGCTGGGACACCCCACGCTCTGGGATCTGTGGCCTTACCGAGCTCCTCCAGTGGTACACTGAGGTCCACGGATTGAGAAGCTCACCAGGTCCTGCTCCCTGGGGACCAGGGGCGGGGGGAGGGGTAGAGACAGTTCCCACCCACAAAGCCACTGCCCTTCCCTTGGTTTCGGGGGACTTACAGGTAACCAGAGGTAGAAGGGCCAGATGGCATGTGGGTCCTGAGGGTTAAATCCCTGTTCACTGGGAGCCCAGATGTCCGGACGACCCCATTTCTGCACACGGCCGACCCCCAGCTGCGGAGTCCTGGCCTCTCTCCGGGGCTGCCAGGCAATTAGTGCCCATTGAGAGGTGGTTCTCCTGATTCCAGAGCTTGGCCCCGAAAAGGAAGAAAGAAAGAACGGAATGTATTTGCTAATTTTGTAGGCAGAGAGCATCTGTCAGGATGCTCTGCGGTTTATTGTTGTTTCATTTTTGTTAACTTTCTCTGAATTTGCAGCTCTCATTGTCTGAGTTCTGAATCAGGCTGGGGCGGGAAGACGCAGCTGTTACACCTGCGTGGCAGAGAATTCAGAGGCTGGAATATACTTTTAAAAGGGGGCAGTCACATGAAGATGGATCGCCACATGAACCCACAGGAGAGTGAGTCCTCAGGCTCCAAGCAGACTCCCTCCGGAAAAATCGTGTCTGTGGGTCTTACTGTCAGAAGCAAAGCTCACCCTGACTGTCACTTTCTAATTTACTCGGAAGAAGTGGAATGTTTCCCGCTTGCAAATGAGCCTCCATTGACAGCTTTTAGTAAGTGCATAGAGCAGAGGAAGTCTCCAGGAGCCCAGGACCCAGGACATTTTCCATCCTGAAGTTTCTGTTTTCTGTTAAGTAGCCAAATTGTGGCTGTCACAGCAGGTCCTGGTAAAATAAACTCGATATGATATGGTGGCATCTCCTAGGGCCTAACACACTGGCAGCCTTGGAGAGGCTTACCAGGGCGTGGCTGGGGTGCAGGTGTGGCTGGGGTGCAGGTGTGGAGTGTGGGGCTGCACCTCTGTGCTGGTCACCCTGTGCTGTAAATAAAGGAGTGAGCAGGGGAACCGGAGAACAGGAAGGGGGAGGTGTGGTTAGAAACTGACAGCAAAGTGGGAGCTGATGGCCAACGGCCGGGGCTCCATTTGACGGAAGTGCACGGTCATGTCTGGAGCTCCTTTGCACCTAAGAAATAGGCAGGTTTTATAAAATTTTTTAGAACGCTGAAGAATTTAGCTCAGAAAGAAATCTGATGGTTCACCCAAGGGCCACCTTCCTCATTCAAGCTACAGGGGTTTGGGGTTCCTTTGGCTCCAAGGAAGCCAAGTCGGGAAGTGTGTGTGGTATCATCTCAGTTTGCACACACAGAAGTGACCACGGGAACCTCAGGGGTTATGGGATCCTCATGGGCACAGGTGCTTTCCTGGGGGACTTTAAAATTGGGATGGTTCGTATAATCTGAACCACTGTGGCTCCACCTCCACCCTGAGGTTTAAAGACCTGCCTGGAGGGGAACCGTGGGGACCCCCAGGTCCCACTCCCTCCCGTCCAGGCAGGCCAGAGAGATGCCGCCTGACTAACGGTCTCTGACCCAGTATGTACTGGGAAGGATTTGCAGGAAAGCCAGACGTTCGTGGCGCAGCCTCGGCCTGGAGTTGGTATTTGCACTTTGCACTATGTACTCACCTAACTTTATTTCAGTTTTAAAGAAACTGGACGGTTCTGCCCCCAAGGCTCTGCACGCGGTGGCGATCCTCCTCCTGGCCCTCAGCTTGTGCGCCTCGCTGCTGAGCTGTGGGTTCAGCTTCTACAACAGCGTCAGCAACCCCTACCAGACGTTCCTGGGGCCGCTGGGGCTCTACACCTGGAACGGGCTCTGCGGTGAGTGGCCGGGGCCCGCACTCGCCCGTCCCTGCTCCCGCCTCCCTCCCAGGCACAGTGGGCCACGCAGGGTGGGAGGCCCGCTCTGGGCCGGGGCTGGGGCTATTTACAGCATTTATGAGCATCTCTGGAAATAAGAGTCTGTATTACATGCACCGGGGAGAGGCAAGGAGAGGCGCGAGGAGGGCGTGTTAGGAGTTAAGATACACGACATGCACCAGGCTTTGCTTTCAAGCGTCGATGTGAGGGGTAAACGAGACACACAGCAATCATGACACAGTCACTGGGCTCCTGCTGTGTGTGTGACTCCAAACTAGGTTCCACGGGACGTACAGAGGAGCACACGCACAAATACACATGCACGCACATGCCAGCACACACATGCATGCGCGCACACACGCACACATATGCACACACACACACACAAATACTTATTTACTTTTTGTCGCCACATAACATCCGCATGATTGTGCCACAGAGAACAACAGAAATTGTCACTTAGGAGGATCTGGTGCCAACACCCTTTTGTGGGTGACCTGTGAGCCCAGGGTGTTGGTGTGCGGCGTTGCTAGGTATTTTATTTGCTTGTGGGCACGGTGTTGGGGTGGGGACTGCTGCCCGGATAGGAGGAGAATCCCAGCTTGAGTCACAGTAGGTTTGCCTCTCCCTGTGGCTTCGAGGGGCACTGCGGACACCAACTCTGGCCGGAGGCGTGGCCCGTGGGTCCCTCTCTGCCCCTGACGGCAGCCAGCTTTCTCCTGCTCTCTCCCCTGCTCCACACGGGAGCTTGGTCTCNGGGGCACTGCGGACACCAACTCTGGCTGGAGGCGTGGCCGGTGGGTCCCTCTCTGCCCCTGACGGCAGCCAGTTTTCTCCTGCTCTCTCCCCTGCTCCACACGGGAGCTTGGTCTCGAGAAAGGAGCGNNAAATACTTATTTACTTTTTGTCGCCACATAACATCCGCATGATTGTGCCACAGAGAACAACAGAAATTGTCACTTAGGAGGATCTGGTGCCAACACCCTTTTGTGGGTGACCTGTGAGCCCAGGGTGTTGGTGTGCGGCGTTGCTAGGTATTTTATTTGCTTGTGGGCACGGTGTTGGGGTGGGGACTGCTGCCCGGATAGGAGGAGAATCCCAGCTTGAGTCACAGTAGGTTTGCCTCTCCCTGTGGCTTCGAGGGGCACTGCGGACACCAACTCTGGCTGGAGGCGTGGCCGGTGGGTCCCTCTCTGCCCCTGACGGCAGCCAGCTTTCTCCTGCTCTCTCCCCTGCTCCACACGGGAGCTTGGTCTCAAGAAAGGAGCGAAAGAGGCCTGTCCTGCTAACCTGTGAATTCCAGGTGGTGCATTGTAACGCAGGCCGGCCCCTTTCCAGCACAGGAGGGGTGCTCCAGAATCCAGGTGCCAGGCAGCCTGGGGGAGGCACCCTGGGCAGCGTCCCCCTGTCCTCCTGTGGGGGCCGACCTTACGCTGGCCTGGGGCAGGTGGCTGAAGGAGAGGCCAAGTCCCGTCCTGTGACTGGAGCGCGTGCTCTGGGAGGTGGGGCTCTGAGGGGAGCACCGCCTGATTCGAGCCTCGTAAATATTTCCACGGTGGCCTTTTCTAGGCTAATATTTGAGGGGATCTGTGATCCGCCCCCCAGCACAGCATGGATATGACAGAGACCCACACAACTCACTGACCAAACCATTAACCGGGGACCCCAGGTGGCACTGGGACCATCCCCAGCAAAGGTGCATGGGCGGCCACATGCATGCTCACCCCCCAGCTGCTCCAGCCACATTCACACACAACGAGCCCTTTCCTTTCTCTCTGTGCTTTTACTGCCTGGTGGAAAAAACAATCCACCCCCGAGTTCAGGGGGCATCCACGCTGGGCCAGGCTCAGGGCCCTGCACGGGGGTTTCCCTGCTGCCCAGGCTCACAGTGGAGCTGGGGCCGAGGCAGAGGGGCTTGGTCACAAGCTCACCTATCCTCGCCCAAGTGCCAGGGTTCCCAGGCCATTCCTATGACTATATTTCACCTCCATCCACCAAACCAAAGGCGAGGCTCACTGGCACTCATTGCCAGGCTGAGAAATAGATAATTCTAATTTTTGCTCATGTAATTCAGGAGTCAAGGAAAGCAGGGGCTTCAGGTACAGCTGGCTCAGGGTGTCAGCTCACACCGTCAGAACTCTGTTTCCCTCCCGTGTGCCGTCTCTAGATGTCCCAGCACCCCTCCGTCGCTCAGCAGCCCAGCTGGTCCTCTGAAGGGCGGTGCTGGTCCCAGCCATTCCCTGCTCACCGCCACTGAGACAACCCCAGGAGAAAAGACTCCTTTCCCCCAAACCTGACTCTCACTGGACTAGCCCTCTCCCTTTCCCTGGAGCCACCTCCACGGCCTGCAGGGTTGAAGTCACGGATTGACCCATCCCTTGGCCTAGAACCCGTGTCCACCTTGGGGCTAGGGCTGGGTGGGTCCTCAAGGAAAGTCGGGTGGTCGCAGCAGAGAGGAGGACCAGATGGAGGTCTGCGGCCTCCGGGTTCAAAGCCCATCCCTCACCTCAGCCAGAGGGAGCCCTGCTTTCCCCGAGGCTGGCTTTTCCCTCCACAGCTGAGTGTAAACCGACTTCCGTTGGCAGAGGCCCGATGGGTGTTTTTGGAGGAAAACATGGAAAAAGGAACCTGCAGGTTTCCCTCCTTCCCACCTGCTTCTCCCAACAAAGAACTTTGACAGAGAGAATTCGGGCACATTCCTCTCCCTGCTTGGGGCGAGTTCTAACACAGAGAGAGGCTGCGGGGGGCCGAAGACAACCCGAGGCCCTGAGGGTCAGGGAGTTTGTCCTGACGGGCCTGGGGCCGAGGCCGGTCTCTGGCTTCAAGTCCGGCCTCCTCTGACCCCGGCGCTGGGATAGCCAGGCCTTCCCCCGAGCCTCGGGGACCCCTGCTTTCCTCCCTTTCCTCCCGCGGGCTCCCGGGGGGAGAAGCCAGTGAGCCCGCTTGCCCACCCTCCACCTGCGGGGGGCTTTGTGCGCGAAGATGCCCCGGGTCGTTGTGCCCCAGGGCGGGGGCCACCTGCCCACAGGGAGCCAGAGGGAAGAGGGGCTGGTTCCACATCACTTACGAAGTCCCTTCTCCTCCCAGCTTCCTTCACTGTCCTGACCATGGCGCTGTTTGCGGGGAACGTCCAGGCCAATCACCCTGCGGAAGAGCTGGTCCAGGCGCTGTACCCCCGGTACCCGCCTGCCACTCACAGAGGGACCAGCCACAGCTACGGGTACCCGTTTTGGCTCATGCTGCTGGTCATCCTCCTCAACATTGTCACCGCGGTCATCGTCCTCTTTTACCAGAAGGCCAGGTACAAGCGGAAGCAGGAGCAGAGAAAGCCAGTGGAGTTTGCGCCGCGGGACGGCATCTTATTTTGAACCCTGCCCGGTGGCACCGTCTCGGCCTAGCCCGCGGCGCCCTGAGCGGCCCCTGCCCGCCTCTCTGGCTCACTGTCCCCGTGCGGTCGTTTTTGTATCTCAGGGCGCCACGTTCTTCATCAACGAAGTCCCCGAAGAGGGTCCGGTGGTCGAGGGCGGGCAGGCGGGAAGGGGGCTCTCCGGCCGCGTGGTGGGCAAAGCGGTGGGGCGATCTCGAGCCTCAGGACCCTTCCCGCCGCCCAGCCTCTGCAGTAATAAAGGTCTGCGCCACCCACTCGCCCTGCGCGTCGCCCCGGCTCCTTAGCACCCGGCCCCAGCCTCCCCGGAGGGCCGGCGCCCCGAGCCCACCCTGTGGACGAGACGCCCAGCCCGGAGGGGCTCGGGCTCCTCTGCCCAGCACCAGGCGTTGCAGGCAGAAGGCCAGGCTCTGGGGCAAATGACCTGGCCCCCGGGGCCCCGGGTCACCGTCATGACAAACCCCGCCGTGGGTGGAAGGGCCGCTGCCCATTTGGGGGGTCCCAAGGTGCGTTTTTGTCAGGACGAGATTAGAAAGTGAAAAGATAAAATATCTTTGTCTTTAAATGAATAAAAAATCACTACCCTGCAGCCTAAACTAGGCCAACCACGTCTTTGGTTTAAAAGGATTGCGGTAAATCCAGTCGAAACGGAAGGGTAACATGGCCACAAGCTCTAGCGACGCCCGCCCCGCGTCGGCCAGCCCTGCGCCCAGTTCCTGAGGTGTCGACACAGGCGTCGTTGGTCCGGTGGGAGAGTGTCACCCATCGGGAGACTCCTGCCCAGCCAGAGGCTGAGGGGGACAGGGGCGGGCCAGCGGCCTCTGCTGCCCTCTGTGGGACCGGATGACAGCGGCCGGTCCGCCCTCAGGGTCCCGAGCACGGACCATGACCAGGGGTGTCCTCGGCTCCTGGCCCTCCACCCACGTGAGTGTAAACGCGGGAGTGTGGCTGCGCCCTCAGGTTAATGCCTCAGCTTTGTAAATGGCAACAGACANGGTGGCTGCGCCCTCAAGTTAATGCCTCAGCTTTGTAAATGGCAACAGACAAACGGCCTGAGCGCCTGGAGCTGCCAAGCGGCGGAGCAAGGTCCGGAGCCCTTGGGCCTTTTAGCCCACATTTGACTCAGATCCATAAATACTTGTTTGCATCAGGCTGATGGTATGGGCTGGGGGTGGGGCTCAGGGGCCAAAGGACAAAAGGTCCCTGCTCCTTGAGCTCTGCCCCAGACGGGAAGGGTGGCCTTCCCGGTGCGTCCCGTGGTGCTCAGGGCCCCTTTCACCGCATGCGTGGGCCTCCTGGGGGGTCTCGTCCATGCAGAATAAAGGAGCGGCTGGCTCAGGCAAAGGAACTCAGTTTGTTTCAAATAAAGTCTCAGCCGGCTTGGGTGCCAGCCCAAGCTGGAGACGGCGGGGCCACCCCGCATGACCCTCCCACGCACACCCAGGACGTGGTGCTCCTTAGAGGGAAAGTGAGGCCAGCGTTCCCCACGGGGACCAGGGCCACTGGCTGATTAAAACTGCGCTCAAGGGGGAACGGAGGAAAGTGGGAGTTTGTGCAATTCTAAATGCCCTGAGCAGGCCCGCGCCGGAGCACACGCAGATGCTGTTCCTGCTCCGCACACTGCTCCTGCTGTGCGTTCTCAGGCCACCCAGAGGCTTGAAAAATAGCGGCAGACAGCATCAGCAAGAATTCCAGACAGTGCCCTCGTTTTTAAAAAAATTGTACTTGAGATTGACTTCGTTCGGATCATGAAAGTATCATTTTCAACAACTTGAGCTGTTTAGTCAAAGAAAAATTTAGATAAAAACATGTTTTATAACCATTTGTTTTAAACAAATTATTTTAAAAATTCTTTTAATTTTTTTACTAATTTATTTTCAAATTATAATTGACATGGAGTATCCTGTTAGTTCCAGGTGTACAGCATAGTGATTCAACATTTTATGCACCTTACAGAGTGATCGCCATCGGCCGGCCGCCGCACAGTCATCGCCACGCCAGGGAATCGGGTCCCGGTGACTAATTTTATAACTGGAAGCTCGGACTCCTGTCCCTTCCCCCTTTCACTCATTCCTCCCCCCTCCCCCCTCAGGAAACCTTCAGTTTGTTCTGTGTCCGTGAGTCTGTTTCTGTTTTGTTTTAAACAAACCACTTTAAAAGCACAGCTCCTCCTGCCTCCGCCTCCCGTCTTCACCAAGGGGCAGGTTTTAATTTTTAACCTTGACCCTCCGTGGCACGCTCTGCTGGGCTCACTATCTTGAGGTACGGCCACTTTAGCAAAATGCTTGTCACTGGTAAGTCCGGCGTCGGAGGGGATTTCTGCTTTTCTCACAGTGCCCGAGGCTGGTGGGAGCTCCAAGGGCCTCCCTGAGCCCCGAGGGTCTGTCAGAGCTCAGCGGGTCCTCATCAGCCCCAGCGATGGCAGCGAATGTCAGTCTGCCAGTGCGTGTGCCCCCGGAGGCTCTACAGGGAGATTTCACCAAATCCTCGGGGCCAAAGCATGGGTTGGTTTACAATTAACTCCATTTTATGGTGAGTGACCGAAGCTTAGCTGGGCTGTGTGTGTCCATGTCCTGCGGCAAGGGGCAGCTGAGATGAGATTCCACGCATATCTCTGGAGGGGTGCGTGGCTGGGGCTGGTACCTGCAGGGCACCCTGCGCAGGCGCAAGTCTCAGTGCACCTCCAGACACTGGACTTTGGGCTCCCTCGGGCATCCCCAGGCATGTGGCATTTGGGGTTAGCTGGGTTTGCTGGATTCTTGAGGTGCTTAATCGTGTAATCATTCACTTTTGGATGAAAAATCTAACCATTTTCACCAGACAATACTCGCTATGTGCTATCTTTCCGCCCTGGAGACAGACGGCCTCTCTGAGGCTCCGGCACAGTCCCGGCAGAGGCTAAGTTGTGATTTGGGGGGGGGGCTGGAGTGCAGAGAGCACGTGCTCATGTGGCAACAGACTAGGCGTCAGCGGATACGCGGTGAACAAGTATTTATCCAGCACTTAGCCTGAGACAGGAGGCCGGAGCTGGGAACCCGGCAATGGGCACGACAGACACGGGCTATGGAGCAGCTGGACAGACAGACACCGAGTCTACCATGATGGGAGCTTTGGGAGCACAACGACTGGGTGCTGTGGGGCACCCCAAAGGAGAACCTGAATGAACTGGGGAGACATGAGAGAGAAATGGCTTTGGCTCCACCCCAGACTCTGCAACCCCAGGCAAGGCCTGTGACAGACGTCAGACACAATCACATCCAACCCACGTGCTCCTGAGACCAGGAGGGTGTGAGGGGCCAGGAAGCTGGGACTGGCCCCCTGGCCCGGCTGGATAGGTGTGGTCCCCGCCTGTGACGGCCTGCCACCTGAAAGGAGTCTTCCTCCCTTAGACCCGGTCCTCGCTCTCACCCAGGGTATCCTGAGAGCCGTGCAGGGCTGAGGGTCCCTGTGACCCAGGGCCAGGAGCCTTGGGATGCCCCACGGCCAATCCTGAGGGGACATTCCTCACGGGCAGAGACACAACAGCCAGTGACTGTGATGGTTAGGCCGGTCACGACCGCGACCGCGGCACCTCAGCCAGGACACGAGGCCCCATGTTCCAAGGAGCCCGAGCTCGAGTGTGGCAGCCTCAGATGCCAGACAGCCCTAGGCCCCAGGAAGCCCCAGTCCACAGGTACCCCCAGACTCCAGGCCACCACAGGTCCCACGCAGCCCCCAAACCCCAAGCAGTCCCAGGTCTGAGGCTGCCCCAGGTCCCAGGCAGCCCCTAAACCCAAGGCAGCCCCCATTGAACACTGAGGCAGGTTTTTGCAAAGGAGCCAGAGCAGACACGTCATCTCCCCCCTCCCCGTGGACACACACAGAGCTGAGGAATGACCCTCTGAGCGGCAGCCTGGGGACTCGGGGAGGAGCTGGCTGGGTGGGTGGGTCAGGGGGAGTAGGCCTTGCTCTCACTTAGTCATGGTCCCATTTCCTAGCCTTGGCCCCTCTCTGTCCCCTGCCCCTCCGCTTTTCTTATCTGACCCCCTAGACCAGGGGTCAGCAAACTGCGTCCTGTGGGACAAACCCAGCCAAGTACCTGCTTCACAAACGGCTTTGCTGGAACACGGCCATGGCCCTGCATTCACACGCCGCCTGTGGCTGCTGTGAGTCACCTGGCAGAGCTGAGCAGCTGTGACAGCCCGTGGCCCCACAGCCAGACATCTCCTATCTGGCCCTGCTCTTGAGCCCTCTCAGCGGGGGCAGCACTGCCCTCTACTGGGCAGTTCGGAAACTGTGCTTCTGGTGAGTCACTGACAATCGTTACATACATGTCTTTCCTTTCATCCTTGTAGCTCTGCTTTAGACTAGAGTTAGGACACTATATTGATCTTTTTGAAGTTCGGAGCATAAGCAGGTTAAGTCTCTGTGGACTTGGTTACTGGGCATCTGAGGTGGTGGGGACACCCCAGAGGAGCCTGTGAGGCCCCGCCCCCCACATGGGCATCAATGGGCCATGTCAACGGGCCACCACTAGAGGTCAGTATAAGCCTGTGACCTGCGGAAAACTAGGGCCCATTCTAGTCCCTGAGACCTACCGGGAGCAGAAGCCCACCTGCCTCTACATGGATGTTCCCTGCACGTTTCTGGAGACACCTTGTGCTCAGAGATGCTCCTTCAAATAGGGCTCTGTGTGCCCATCCCTCCTTCAGAGCCCAGTGACGATGACATTCGCATACAGTGAAGAAATCGGCCCACTCAGCCGCACCCACTTTCCCTCTAATTTATTGGACATTTGGGTCTTTTGTGTGAGCCTGTGTGTGTGACACTGACCTATACATGAAGCAGCCACTTGTAAATGCTGACTTAAAATTTGGGGGGGATGCTTGTTGTTTAGGTTGGGTTCTTGCCCATTTTTGAGCAGTTTTTGCCAGCAATCTGAGGTGGGATTTCAGGAGCAGGAGGGAGCACCTGGGAGCAGCAGGAGCCTCCCCTGCAGGACCA